TTACGAGCTATGGTGATACAAGTGATTTAGATATGGATATGTTAGTTTTGTATTGGAATGAACGTGTTTTCTATAGTATTTTACTGTAAAAAATTCTTACCGACTATTGTGGTGATACAAGTGATTTAGATATGGTTATGTGTTATGTTAGTTTTGTATTGGAATGAACGTGTTTTCTATAGTGTTTTACTGTAAAAAATTCTTACAGACTAATGTGGTGATACGATATGGTTATGTTAGTTTGTATTGGAATGAATGTGGTTTCTATAGTGATTTACTGTAAAAAATTCCTACCGATTATTGTGATGATACAAGTGATTTAGATGTGGTTATATTAGTTATAGCGATTGACTATAAAAGTTCTGTTGCTGTACTTACAGACTTTTGATTGTTATAAATAGTGGTCAAATTATTATTTACTTTTAAGCACTTTTAAGATACATATCATACTTACAACTCCTTAACTAATTCATTGGCCTTCTTTGCCCATACGTCATTTGGTTTGATTCTTAATAATTTCTCCAGGTCAGCGATTGACTCATTATACCCTTTCATCATATAATTAATTTCTCCTCGATATTTTAATGCTATTGTATTATCTGGTTCAGTTTCTAGCAATCTTGTTAAATCTTCAAATGCTTTATCATATTTGCCCATAATAAAAAATATTTTTCCTCGATAAATTAATTCAAATGAATTATTTGGTTCTTTTTCTAGTGATTTTGTTAACTCATCTATTAAATTAACAAGCATATTTTCATATCCACCCATAATAAAATAATCCTTTTCTTGATATTCCAACGTTAATGCATTTTTTGATTTTTTAAGAAACCTTTTGAAACCATTTAGTATTATCGTTAAGGGACGCCATTGGCTTTCATTAGTCATTACTGTCAATTGAAATGCATATATAGACAAGATTAAATTTTAAATAAGCAAAAAACGATTAAACCTTCTGAATAAATTTACCAGAATATTTAAAATTTTCTTTGATGTCTTCATTAGTCATCACTGTCAATTGAATGTATATATAGACAAGATTAAATTTTAAATAAGCAAAAAACGATTAAACCTTCTGAATAAATTCACCAGAATATTTAAAATTTTCGTTGCCAAAGTTCACTTCTACTGATCCGCCTTGCGATCTAAATCCAACGCAAGGGTATAGATTGCCTTCCAAACCGTTAGGTAGATGGCACGCAATTCCTTAAAATATTTTATAATTATTGAATTTTTTATTTATTTACGTTAAAAGATATAAACTTTAGTTTCTAAAACGATGTTACCTAAGTTAATTCCATTTTTAGTATAAAATATTATCTTATTTTTAAAATTTAGATAGCATCCAATTATATCACCAGCAGTATATCCAGCGGTATATTCAGTGGTATATTCATCGCGTGGTAAATCATATGGCTCGCCACTTCCCGAACAAAAAGAATATCCGTCATCACCATGGTAACCACACCCCCATGATTCTTTTTCCTGTCCTAAAAATATGATATAGACGTTAGTCTATAATAATAAGAAGATAAAATAAAAACTTGCTATTACCAGGCATGAGCATATTATTTATATAATTTGAATCGTCAATTTTTTTATCGCTTTGCTTTGTACAATATCCGATTCCAATCATTCTATTAAGAAAATAGAATTAAAAGATTATAAAAAATCACCAGAACAAAGGTGATGTCTATGGACGAAATAAATATTAATATTACCCATTTTTTCCTTTGTTTAAAATTTTAATTTCAAAGTAAAATATCCCACACTCTGAAGGGATTGGATTGTTTGCTCGAACAATTACAGCTTTAAAGTCATCAGGATCTTTAATTAAAGGTTTTAAATAAATTAAATAGCTATGATGATATTCTTTTAAATGCCGATTTACAGGTAACATTAAATAGATTTCTGCAAGTTATTCCATTACCTGTATAACTCACTTTAATTCCACTTGAATCTATGTCAATAAATGGCAATTTATCTTCAATATTCCATGCAGTTGGTAAAACTAATTCTAAATCTCCCATTGCTGTAGGTTAAAATTCAATTAAGATCTTTTGTTAGTGAACAAAAGTAATTTATACGTAGAATATTAACGAAGTAATGTTTATAATATGACCTTAGTGTTCTTGTATATTGCCAATATATTTAGTTAGTTGGTTATGTATAAGAAAGTCAATACCACCTTGACGATTATTTTTTGTAGAACCCCAAAGATTTGGTAGTTTGGAAGATTTTGGGCAAGAGAGGGAACACAATGTACTATTTATGTATACGGTGTGAGACCGGAAACGTGACCTGACGGCAGGACATGACCACGTGACTCGGTAAATCCTAATTTGGGTTTCCCGCCCAGAAATCCAGATATTAATGTAATTTGGGTGAAATGCGGATCTTAGTAATACTGGCTATAAGGCCGATATTGGGTTTGTTGATGATTTTTGGGATATGGAAGATTCTTAGGAATGTAAATAATAGAATTCGCAATTATAAATAGAGGCCCTTTTTGGCCCTTGGGAAAAATAACTCTCGCCTTTGCTTTTATTAAACCACTTAATCATACAATAACTTTTCATAAATCTTATAATTACTCCTAATAAATCATACATCTATAAATTGAACATAACTCTTAATAAATACGCTCTCTAACTTGTCTATATAAACTAGTCGTTATAAAACTCTATTCCAAAACTCTGCATAACCGCTCGTCCAAATCTAACACGTCTTTTTCGACACACACAACCTAACCTCTTGGTTACACGACACTCTTATTGATCAAGCGACAGACTCGCCAATTTTGGGTCTGACAACGGTAAGGTAAAGCTGTATTATGTAATTATAAGTCAAATGAATATCAAATAATACGTACAAAAAATATGTTATGTGAACCTGATGAAGCAATGTTGGATTAGAGATTTAGAAAAGCGGTCAGGAGAAGAACTCTGAAGTTTTTAATTAAAAAATGGAATTAAAAATACTTAAGCATATCAGGAACTTTGACATAAATGCAAATAATGGTAGCAAATTAATTAGTTTATATTAATCAAAATCAAAATCGCATTTTATTTGGAACTGTGATCAACATTTTATATTAAATATATAGGTAAAAAAAAAATAAAAAAAACCTCTAAGCAATGATTGGGTTTGAACGTATCTTGAAAATGAATTCAGTTTAGATCTTTAAATAGGTTATGGCAATTCAATCTATATTCAGTAGAATAGATAGCTGAGAATAATTAAATGTTAAATGTATTGCCATTATATTGCTGTATTGAATTTATATAGATAATATCGTGAATGCCAACCAATCAAATTTTGAGATTGATTTCGTCGATTGTATCAAACCGCCATTTTCAAAATAAAATACTTCAAAGGTTTTTGACGTAAAGGGAAAAAAATATATAGATAGTATATAAATATGAAATAACAAATATTTTTATTATAATAAAGAATACTGGTTATATTGTAAGATATAAATGTTAGCTTAGAAGTGAAAACTGTCTTTTTTTTTTACAAAACCTATAGATCGTTATAAATTTTATGTGCTGCAACTTGTAGATCCCTTAATTAAATCATTACCCTGAAAATTTTCTGACCTTACACTTGACCGATATCAAATTCAATCTCATCGTCTTTGATTTTTTTTTTTTTTAAAGCTTATCAATTTATAGTTAGACTGAATTAAAAAAATTATATAACATTTATACCTGCTTTTATTGAACCGTGACATTAAAGATGTCTTCAAAGAGGATCTCAGATACTTTTGGAGTTATAAATGCGTGTACAAACGTAGCATCGAATTTTATAAAACTTCAAGCAATTAATGCTAATATTATTTTAAAATCATCAAATTGGCGATGGTCAGTTAAATATCAGCCAGCATACAAAGAATCTGTCTATCAACATAAACAAGATAATGAGATTGAAGAAGTTGGTAGATTTTCGAAACAAGGTATTCATCACATGCCATTATTAATTACTCCATTAATGTTAAAAAAAAATATTGAATTATAGAAACAGAAGATAAGCCAACGCATGAAAATGTCGTAGCATCAAAAGATGCATCAACACTTGAAAATTCCTCAGTCAAAGCATCACCAGAAACTATTCACGAAACAAAAGTAAAAATTAAAGAATTATAAAATCTAGATTGAAACCTTATATTTATAAGAAAAAATTTTAGATATTATCGACTCTTACTTCAATTTATTTTAGATACCTAAAGTACTCAAGGAATCTAAAATGCCAAATACTAGAGTTTCCAGATTGTTTCATTATGGCGGTATATCTTTGTAAAAAATCCCAATTTTTCAATATTATTTTATTACTGGTTATAATTGTAAGAAATATATTTTTTGTCTTTATAAAAGGTTTGGCTATTGGATTAGGAATTGGTGCTCTCGGTGAATCTGTTAAAAGGGCTACTGGTGTTTCTGATGCAAAAAGTTATATATAAGATTTTTACTTTAATAAAGAGTTTTTCTTTTTATTATATTTATTTTGACAAATGTTTTTTCTTGATATCAGCTAGTTCTGTATTTGTAAATGAGGCCAATATAGATCGGTTGGTTAATAAATTATCGAGGATGAGAGGTGCTGCATTGAAATTGGGACAAATGTTAAGTATTCAAGGTAAAACTTTTTCTACATGTATACTTTAATTACTTTTATTTATTAATTACATTAATTCAAAATTATTTTGTAGGTAACGATATGTTACCAGATCCATTAGAGCAACTTATATTAAGAGTTCAAGATAGCGCCAATTATATGCCAAGCTGGCAGATGGAAGTAATTTATTCAATCTTATAAATTTCTTGAATTTAATCATTTTATTAGTTAAAAGCTCTTTATTAATTGTAAAATTACTATAGAAAATAATGTTGACAGAACTTGGTCAAGATTGGCGTAAAAACTTTTTATATTTTGATTCAACTCCAATAGCTGCAGCTTCTATAGGACAAGTACACAGTGCTGAGCTTGTATCAAGTCCAATGAAATTAGCTATTAAAATTCAATATCCTGGTATTGTTACCTCAATTGATTCTGATCTCGGCAATTTAAAGACTTTAGTAAAAGTTAGTAATCTATTACCCAAGGGTCTTTATCTTGATAATACTATTAAAGTTGCAAGAAAAGAGTTATTATGGGAAACTGATTATATCAGGGAAGCGGAATGTGTGGAAAAATTTCAAACATTATTAAAAAATGATAAAAATTTTGTTGTTCCACAAGTAATTAAAGAACTATCAACAAAAATGGTTTTGGTTTGTGAAAGGATGATGGGAGAGCCCTTGACATATGCAGTATCGTATAGTCAGGAACTAAGAGATCAGGTTGATCTTTTTTTTCTTTATTGCAATTTACTTATTTATTATTATCATTTTAAAACTTATTTTTTATTGTAATAGATTGGTGAAAACATATTACATCTTTGTTTGCGTGAGCTATTTGAATTTAAATTCATGCAGACTGATCCAAATTGGACTAATTTTTTCTACAACAGGAAGACAAGGAAGGCATGCCAGCTCTAATCTAATTAATATGATAATTGCTATTATAATTGTCTATAATTTAGTTCTTATGTTAATAAACTTTTTTTTGATAGATTGAATTAATAGATTTTGGGGCGAGTAGAAGTTTCGATGATACATTTATAAACTATTATTTAAAAATCTTGAAATCAGCTGCTAAAGGCGATAGAGAAGGTTGTGCATATTATTCAGAACGAATAGGTTTCTTGACAGGATATGAAAGTGAGGTAAAAAAAATATATATATAAAAATATATGTCTTTAGAACTTTTATAATTATTATTACAATTTCAATATAAACAAATTAATAGGTGATGAAGAATGCACATGTTGATTCTATTTTGACATTAGGTGAACCGTTTACAGCATCAGTTTATGATTTCTCAAAACAAACAATTACAAACAGAGTAAGGAATTTGATTCCTACAATGCTAAAATATAGACTTACAGCACCACCCGATGAGACTTATAGTTTACATAGAAAATTATCAGGTGCATTCCTACTTTGTGCAAAATTGGGTTCTAGAGTTAGATGTAGAAAACTTCTTGAAGAAGTTGTTGGTGAAATATAATACTTATGGATGAAATTTTCAAATATTCATAAATTTTAAATAAAGTAATCTTAAATAACAATTTTTTCAAATAATCATGTAAATTCAGTAAGAAATGTTTATTATATATAATGTTATAATACAAAATTTCAATAAATTTAAAATAACTATTTTTAAACAAAGTTAATAGGCATTTCGATCAAATATTGAATAAAATCAAGATATTTATAATATACAATCTTTCAAAATCAAATGTTTAATTTACTCACTTCTAAAAAAAAATTTCCCAAACACCTTCTGGGTTTACATAATCATTATACACAAGATTAACTAACCACCAATTATCACCGATGTCTTTTAATAATTTTTGTGCTATTGAGTCTTTTGGGTATAGACGTTCCCATTCAGACCATAATTCAAAAGCAACTTCCTTTTAAATGGTAAATATGGTAAATATAGTGTTAATAATTTATATAAAACAATATAAAAAATATTTTTTACTTTACACTTACTTTCCAAGCCTTGAATGATACTTCTTCAATAATAGTTGGTTGAACAATTTCTTTACCAGGAAACACACCCCATGTGACAGCAGTAGATGTTTCTTCTTTTATATTTGTTTTAAACTCGTCCTATACAAAAATAAATTAAATTTTTTTTTTGTAAAAAATATACAAACATAAATATACTTACATTCCTTTTTGCAGCATAATATGTAATCCAGCAATTCTCATTGATTACTCTAATTAATTTATCAAACATCTCTGGACTTACAAAAAATTCTACAAAAAATTTTTGATATATATATCCACCTTTTGGACCCCAGCCAAAATCTGCATCATCACTTTTAACCCCATTAACAGCTGGCTGGGAGCTTACAGTTAAATAGCCCAATTCATTAAGTTTAATAAGATTTGAACGGATCACATCTGTTTCTTTTGATATAGGATCCTCTGACCAAGGAAATACAGGTATCTCATAAAGAATATATGATTTGAAAATCTGAATGATATCATCTATTGATTTAGGTTCTCGCCAATAGTGTAGAGCTTGGTCTCTCTAGAAATTATTTGTAATATTTAACAAAATGAAGAATGAAACATAATAAATAAATATAATAAGGCCAATTCTATTTTGACCCGGGTTAAGGTGACCCATCATGTGACCATATGTCCAAAATTTTGAGCGAAGATATCTCAACAACCATCAAACAAAATACAATAAATCTTTTTTTATTTGAATTCTATGGATTCATAGAATTTGAATAACAAAATTTTCACCAAATTTAGTCAGATAGTTATCGAGAAATCTTCGCTCAAAGTTAAAGAAAAATCAAAACGCCTATAAAATAGAAGTTGCAACAAATTTTTCTTTAGTTTTTATCGAAGATAACTCGACAACCATCAAATCAAATTCGATAAAACTTTCTTTGTTTGAATTATATGGATTCATAGAATTCGAATAAAAAAAATTTCATTGAATTTAGTCAAGAGTTCGCCAAGATATCTTCTTCGCTTAAAGTTGGAAAAAAATTAAAACGCCTATCATAATAGAAGTTTCACTAAATTCTTTTTAAAGCTTTGATCGAAGTAACTTGATAACCATCAAACCAAATTCGATAAAACATTTTTTATTTGAATTTTATGGATTTATATAATTCAATTAAAAAATTTTCATTGAATTTAGTCAGGCGGTTGTCGAGATATCTTTGCTCAAAGTTGGAAAAAAAAAATCAAACCGCCTATCAAAATACCAAATTATTTTAAAAAATTGCGCGAAGTATTTTGACAACCATCAAACCAATTCGTTAAACTTTTGTATTTGAATCTTATGGATACATAGAATTTGAATAAAAAAATTTCCATCGATTTTAGTCAGGTGGTTTTCGAGATATCTTTGCTCAAAGTTAGAGAAAAATCAAAATGTTTATCAAAATAGAAGCTGTGCCAAATTTTCTCTAATTTAAGCAAAGATATCTCGACAACCACTTGGCTAAATTCGATGAAAAATTTTTTATTCGAATTCTATGAATCCAGGAAATTCAAATAAAAAAGGCTTTATCGAATTTGGTTTAATGGGTGTCAAGATATCTTCGTTCAAAATTAAAGAAAAAATTTGGCACAGCTTCTATTTTGATATGCGTTTTGATTTTTCTTTAACTTTGAGCGAAGAAATCTCGATAACTACCTGACTAAATTCGATGAA